AGTGGAATGGGTAAAGAATTTAGATAGATGTCCTGTTGTTTATCTAAATCTAGTGAAGGTTATTGCTGTCTTGTTAAGAGAATTGGAGGGTGTTATTAGATGGGTTGACAAAACAGCTAATTTAGAGGCTGATAACTTAGCTAAGACTAGTATTGGTTAGTTATGTTGTTGAGTTTAGGATGTTTTGTTTGAGTGTTTCGTGTTATTTTTGTAAGAGGGACTTGCTGTTTTAAACATTATGTAAATTTTCAGTTATTAATGAATTTTGAGGCACTCTTTTCCTAATTCCGCTGATAAAAGAACATCTGGTGTTTCTTCAATCATGAAGGGGGTTTTTAACGAGGCCTCCACTTATCAAAAAAAAAAGTTCTCTATGATACAGCCTGCTATATTCATATTACTTTTTGCATCAACTTTTACGTGACAAAACATATGCTTTTTTTCTACATGCCTTTGCTATTGCCGTTAGTAATATTCACTTTTTTTTATTTAATTTTCTTTTTAGGCTTTTTCCACCATATAAGATTTCAGGATGATAATTGATTTCTGCTGACTCTCCAGACAGATGTTGAATTAGAAGACTTCAAGCAAGCTCAACCTGATGCTATTGCACACGCAGCTTCCAAGATTATATCTCGCTTGAAAGCCGGTGGAGAAAAGACCACACAAGCACTCAAATCACTCTGTTTGAGATGCAAGGGTATTCAAGTAGAGGTAAAAAGAAATAATTCAAAGGTTGTGAAATCGTCTGAGCTGTTAAAGTCTGCTATCTTGATGCTCTTCTATAGCTACCATGTTTGACTCGACTATACTCTTCTAAGTTGTGTGAAAATTTTAAGGTTCTGGAGCATAAAAATTGACCCCCCCCTTTTTTTAATATACCCCCCCAATAACCTGTCTGTCCATCACCATGGATGGACGGAGGGGCTGACTGTCTCATATAATTTAAGTATGTTCTTTGTGTTTTCTATTGATAATCTGTTTTCGCTCGTCGAACATAAAATCACTCGTCCGTCCCTATCCATCACCATCTTTCCTTGGAAGGTAGGGTTATACGAGGAACCTATCTAGCATACGTAGTATCATTTCTTTTTTGGTTAGCTAATACTCATTTTGTTTGCAAACAATTATAGGAGGTAGCTATTATCAGTGTGGATTCCCTTGGGTTTGTGCTGAGATCTTGCCGTGGAACCCAAATTGAAACCTTAAGATTCGCATTTAATGCCCGGGTATGTCACACGCACACACCTTTCCTTTTTTGTGGTTGGAACTTGTTCAATGTATGGCACCTTGGTTTAATTGAATTGGGGTTTTGCAGGCCACTTCAGAGTATAGTGCTGAGAGACAACTTAACGACTTGTTGTTCCCAAGGAGCCATCAGAGGCCAAAAAAACTGAAAACTGGCTCATCAAAATGAATGCTCAAGTTGTCTCCCTGTACAACATAATTCTGTGTCATTTCGTCTACCGTTCTTCCATGGTTTTTGTATATGGCAGGCTCAAAGTACAAAAACCAAAAAAAAAAAAAAAACCTTTGCTGTCAGCCATCTAATGTATATGTTTTATTTTCTTTCTCCATCAAATGGAACTTGTTCATTTAGGTAAGGATTGTTGGTGTATTCTTTCCTTCGATCTTCTTTCCTTGATCAAGTGTAATATAATACAGGGTAAACTAAGTTTATCACCTAATTATAAAGAGTTCACTCTCGTAATCGAAATTATAAAACTACAAACATGTCTCCAAACCTACCTCTTATTTTCATTTTAGTCATTAAACTTTTAAGTTTTTGTTTTGTTATTACTCGTGGTTAATTTTCTAGTGTCATGTATCATTATATAAGACTAACACATGCCATTATCTAACTGGTTGAGAAAACAACAAAATTTGAGTGTAGGTCTTAGATTCCTCAAGTCCTAAAAATAGTACCAACTTGCTAAACCACTACTCAATTCATATATTCGTTAAATGATTTACAATGTATTGTTTTGGAAAAACTGAAACAAGAAAGAGTTTGAGCTAATGTTTAACTTAATTATATTAACTGTATATAAAACATTGTTTTTAAGCAAATATATCTGTATCACCAAATTATTGAGAGAGAGAAAAAAGTGATAATCTCTTTTTTTCTTGGACATTGAAGCAAATCAGAACCACTGGGTTGAGTGAACACCCATGTCCATTATTAAGGCAATTTTGGAATTGATATAAATTTTTTGTTTTTAAAAAGCATACTCCATATATAATTTTATATTTAAATGACATCTGTTTCACAAACTTTACTCATCAAATATAGAACCAAAAATCAAAATATCTGATATGAAAACTATAAGAGAAAGCACTACCGTTCAATTTTTTGGATGAGGTGGTGATTATTATGTTATAAGAAGATTAAAAATCAAATGGTTGGAAGGAAGCTTGAAAGAAACAATGAATACTTTACTCTCTTCAGAAACCCAACAATTTCTCCTTCCAAAGCCATCTCTGCGGAATCCAAGAACCGCAACAATCCACCCTGCAATCATCAAAACCCAGAAACAAAACCCACCATGGAAACTGCATTTTCCGCCACACCACCGCCAGTCAAAGATAATGCAGCCGAGAAGAGCTCAAACAACAACAGTGAGGACGATGAAATTCCCCAGGTAGTGTTCGAGAGAATGATAAGCAGGATTTTGGTATCAGTGGGAGTTCCGATGGCCACTGGTGTGGCTTTACTGCACCTGTTTGGCGAAGCCAAAGACCGAAACTTGTGGGACGTGCCGTTGTGGCTGCCGTTCTTGACTACACTCTTAACGTTTGGGGCATCGACGCTTGGGATTGCTTATGGGACGTTGTCTTCCAGTTGGGACTCGGAGAGGAAGGATTCGTTGCTGGGATTGGAAGAAGCTCAACGCAACTGGGTTGAACTGTGGAAAGAGGAAAATAATGAGCAGCGGTAATCGGGGATTTAAATTATGGTTGAGATTATATTTATAGTTGTGTAATTTACAGTTATTGTAAGTAGTACGACGATTTTGAATGAATTTTTTTTATTATGTAACGATTATTATTATGATAGCATATCATTATTTAAATCTATGATGATTGTGGTAGAAATCATAGTTACGATTTTTATGTGCAATTCAATGGACAAATATGAGGAACAACTGTCTGATTTAAAATTAAGAAACAACAAGAAATTGACATAATAAAAAATGTGATAAAAATTATAAACATTTTTGAAATTGGGGAGTTGAGTTGCGGGAAGTTCGGTTGTACAACCGTTTATTTTAAAGTTAAGGAATGACAGAAAATAGACGCAACAGAATTAAAATGTGATAAAAATCATAAATATTTTTGAAGTTGGAGAGTTGAATTGCGGGAAGTTCTGCTGTACAACCGTTTAATTTAAAGTTAAAGAACGGAAGAAAATGAACGCACCAGAAAATGTTAGAAAAAAGAAAACATTTTAAGTTTAGTCCAACTAAAAATATCGTATTTTTATCACACTTTCTGTTGCGTTCATGTTCTGTCATTCCTAAACCTTAAATTAAACGGTTATACATCATAATACAATTCAACTCTCCAACTTCAACTTTTCTTTTTTCCTGTTAGGGAAAATTAAGAGCCTCAGCAAATGAAATGTTGTTTACTTTATATTCATTTTCCATCTAATAAACAACATACTTCTACATTTGTTGTATATATTTGTTAAATGAAATTGCAGCTTAAGATAGAGAATGAAAAAAAAATGATGTTAAGAAGCTGAAATTGCAGCTTAGTTTATCCATCTAGTAAATTAAAATTAGAGTGTAAAAATGATTAGTTCGATTAATAATTGAATTGAATATGCATTATCGAATTACTTGTATTTTTTAAATTCTTAATTGTTAATTGAATTAAATTCTAATACTTTTTAATTTTGATTAAAAATAAACATTTTTTGTTACAAGAGGTGGAAACTGTTTCAACATATTCCGGGCAGTCTTCTCATCGTCAACCATTAGAATACTTTGGACTTCACGAGGACGATCCTGAAGAACGAATAATCCCAACGTTTTACAATGCCCAAACTCAGCCATAACATGAGCTAGTTTATCGACTTCGCGAGGCACATGGACCGCCGTGATATTTCATTGCAAATTAAAGTAGCTTCCAACCCTTCTAATGATTGCAGCTTCATGTCCCATTGCTTGTGAATTAGGGATACGAACTGTCTCCGTGTTGTCCACTTCAACTGCTAGATTCCACACCCCATGTTTCCAAGTCATCGCACAGAGCCCAATCTCAACCTGAAGAACGGAGCATCGACCAATGTTCCTGCAAAAACCATTTAACCAATTACCATTATTATCCCACAAGATACCACCACCTGTAGCCTCCATCGTCCTTATGTTAACACTGTTATCTGTGTTAAGTTTGAAAGTTCATGAACGATGAGGGGTCCATTCCATCGATGAGCATATTTAGCCGTTGAAGATAAAGTTATTCTGTTGTTTCCAAATCTTCCATAATTAGGTCCCAAACATATGTCTCTAATAAAAATCATTGCAATCAAGGCCTGCGTTTTTAACCAAGTTGGACATTAACCAATCATGAATTAGGGAAGGAAAAAAAATTGTCTGTAGAAGATTTGGAGAATAAGTTGAGTCCAAATAGAATGTGCAAGGTAGAAATCACGCAACACATGTATGACTGACTCTTCTCTCGTTCCACAAACTGGACAGTGATTCTCAGAAGAGAGGTTGCGCTTCATACGTTCAACATTCGTCATTAGCTTCTTGTGCGGAATTAACCAAATGAACTGCCTAATACGTTTTGGGCCATCATAATCCCAAACCAGCCTCCATATGTTGTCTTCAGCATCCCAGTTATCATGCTGAAGGTGAACGAAAGCTAATTTAACCGTGCAAATCCCCGATTGTTCCCATCGCCACGTAGGTTGGTCTTGGCCCATCTTATCAGATGGTATCGAGACTCTTAGGATACGTTGAACGGTTTCTTCCTCTAAAACTTTGTGCATGAGATTTGTGTTCCAATTACCTTCGTTGGTCACAAAATCACGAACATTAGCCTGAATGTTCAGGATAATCTCTGGTCTGATAGAGTCCGTAACGGTAGTAACGCCCGGTATCCAAGAGTCTGTCCAAAAGTTGGTTGCTCTTCCATCACTTATGGACCAACGCACATTGTCTTAAATACATTTCGAAACACGAGAGCGAGACTTCCAGATGAAGGATCCATTTTAGCTTCAATTTGTCTTAGCAGCATCTCCGTGATCTTGTATTTTGAGTGAACAATTCAAACCGATGGGGATTCCGAGTAGGGGTGAACAAAATTCGACTCGCCTCGAAAAATTGATTTTTTCAATTTTGAGTTATTCAAGTCAACTCGAATTATCAAATCGGTTTTCGAGTTCAAATCGGTTTTCGAGTTCGAGTCGAGTTGAAATTTTGAATTTTCGAATCACTCAAAAAATCCAAAATTTGACTAAGTATTTTGACAGTTTTACAATTTAGTCCCTAATTTTATTATTTCTTTAAATTCTCCTTCATTTTAAGTCCATTTTTACCAAATTTGAACCACATGCTCCTAAATCATCATAAAATACATATGTACTTTCAATTCCTATTTTTGATAACAAATTTTCTATTTTTCAGTTTAATTCCTCAATTTTTAATAATTTTCTTATTTCTTCAATTTATCCTTTATTTTAGGTCTTTTTTTTATCAAATTTGAACCGCATGCTAATATACAACAAAAGAATACATATGTAACTTCAATTCTTATTTTTTTAACTAAAAATGTACTCGTTTTTTAGTCCCTTAACTTTGCGTTTTACTAAATTTAATCTTTTGACTATAATTGTTTGCGAATTTTTTATTCCCTTCAATTCATTGACTCTTTTATACTCTCATCAATGTTTTACTCTCAAAATACTTTCTTCAAATAAATATATTTTATAATTTTATATTGTATTTGATATATTAAATAATAATATAATATGGAATATATATAAAGTCAAAAAATTGGAACAAATAATAGCCATAATACTATAAATAATTATAATAAAATTAGTATAGAAAATCGAATAACTATACAGGAATTTCTTAAACTCGATTAAAAAAAATTCAAGTTCGAGTTGAAAAATACGACTTGTCAATTCGAATAACTTAAATTTTTTTACTCGACTCGATCGAATGTTAAACCCTAATTCCGAGTGCATAAGAAAATTATAACCCGATTTAACGAGAAAACCCTCGTTTTGGGCTCTCAAAGGTCAGATTCCTAGCTCCCCGTGCTTGGTGGGTTGGCAGTAAGTTCCCCGTTTAACAAGAGAGGCTTTAGGCGTGTCATGTGTACCACCCCCAAATAAAGTGTCACGCTATTTGATCGATTGGATTAAAAACCCCTTAGAAATCATGACAAATTACATAAAATAGTTTGGAATTGCAAGAAGAGTTTATTTATCCAGAGTCACTCTCTTGGCCAGGGAAAGTTTTTTCGCTACCCATCGACTGAGTTTTTTCTGAACATTGCCAATAATGAATTGAAAGGTGTTTTCTGTGACTCGTCAGTGGAAGAGAGGCATGCATAATTATTTCCCTAAGACAGTAGATCGTTGAAATTCGAGTAAAGAACAAAGCCCATTAACCCGCTGATCCTTGATATTCACCGAAAAGTTTTTGTTTTGTTCAAATTAGCTCTGTCCCAAAAATCTACTAAACTGATCCAAAGTAGCTCTGAGAAGATTTGCCTGGTTGAAATATACCCCGCAAAAAAGAACCAAATCATCAGCAAAATATAGATGAGAGAGAGATGGGCCACTATGAGAGAGAACCATCGGTTCCTAAAGGCCAATATCCACATCATAATGATGCTATGGTCCAGGTGTTGGATTAAAATACATTATTATGGGCACATATTTAATGTATATTGTTATCATAAAATATGACATTAAATTAAGTGGTCAATCATGATTATAAGTCATGTAACACCCTAAACCTGAATGGGCCTAAAGTGCTACACTAGGTTACTAGGTCAACCACTTATTTTCAAAAAACCATTTTCATTTCCATTTAAAACATACTATATGATACCAAAGTAGACATACATGACAGTTATAAAAAAGCTTTTATAAATTAGAGCTCCATGAAACATAGTTTAAGCCAAATAACACAAATCAAAGTTTGATAATCCTTACTTATGAATACACATGCCCACTAAAAACTATAGTACAATACTCGGGAAGAGATGCTGGAAATCCTACCGCGTCGGTGCTCCAAAAATGGCTCAACTACTGACATGTGAATAGAAACATCAAAACGCTAAGCTTACAAATAATAGTAGTATAATCGCTAATCTAGAGCAACATTACGAGTCTCATAAACATAAGCATGTTAGAAGGCATGTTAATAAGCAATAGGTACAAGCATGATCATAATCAAGTGCTACCTACTTAAGGTTCAATTGTTTTGTTACTAAAGTAAGAGTTTCATTCTTCCTTTAGTCCACTGCTAAGGGCCTCACCATGAGTATACTTCTATTGGGTCTCTAACCTCAATATCTATGACTATTGTGCATTCTCTAAATACAACACATGACACACCATCAGTATCTGTTCTCATATAGATATCCAATACTAGACAATTGAGGGAACCCTATAATCATATAACGTCATTAAAATTCCTACTAACTGGTTAAATGATCTTCTGGTCTCACAAAGCATTCATGTAGATCATGGAGGGGAACCTGGTAATCACACAGCCTCAGTATAATTCACGCTCTACTAAAACATTGTCTCGATCTCACATAACTGTTAAGCCAAGCTTTAAGGATATCTAATGTACTATATTGATGCAATTACACAAGCAAATATTAGTGCCCAAAGGCCACATATCACTGACATTGCCCTATTAGGGCAACTAAGGTAGCCTAGCTACACACTAGCATAACTCATCACAATTAAGTGAGGTCATCCCCTCACTAGTTGATATCTCGCTCATTATCTCATCTAGAACGTTATGCAAGGGTTTATTAGTCTTTTACATATGTTAGTTTATTAAGATGTTTTATTTTGATCATTTAACACTCGATTTATTTTAGTTATTTCTGTCTCTAAGGAGGTATTTATGTGTTTCATGATTTTATGATAATTAATATTTCTGTTGTTCACTTTCTATATTATTTACTAGCCCAATACTTAACTTGGGTTTATTTCTAGGTAGCGATACTCTAGTCGCTCATATCACATTTTTCCTTGATTTACCCTTGAATTGAATGGACGACTTATATGTCCTCGATTCATTGACATTCACATGGTACCCGATTTTGCTAGTACATAATTTGATTAGTTTATCATACCACTTATCGATACATCCTCTATAGTGATCCTTCATTCTTAATTACTCGATATGTTCTTAATTGAATACATTTGGAAGTATTACGTCAATATGTTACTTCGATCGTAACCAACTCCTAAAAGTGTTTTAAGGAACCTTTTACCATTTATGTTCCTCACGGACTAAGCCCACCATTACGGGTCATCTTTAACTCTTACAGGCCTTAATGAAGTCAAATTTAACCATCCAAAACAAGTAGTATTGATGCCCTACTTGAAGTATTGATACCTCCTAGTCAAGTATAGATACCCCCTTGAGTATCGATACTCATCCCCTAAGTATTGATACTCCCCAGAAATCATCCTAATTCATCCATTATTGATATTGCTCATCCAATACCGATACTCGAACCTATAACTATCTTATCTAAGTTTGGAAAATACTCAAATTTTTCCAAAGGTCTTAGTTTGGTCCTAAATCATGTTCTAAAGCTTAGGGAAGTTACTTGGTGTCATCTAGAACCTTAAAAACACAATATAAGAAATAAAAAATATCTATGACATGATTCAAATAAAAACCTTAAAATGCTTAAATACCAAAATCTCAACAAATATTCATGATTATGAAAGCATTAACACCACAAAGGAATAGAAATAAACTACCTTGATGCTAGAAACACAGAATAAAGCTTCTTTACCTACCTACCACTCTCCTCCAAGACTTGATTGTTGAACCCCCACTTTGTAACCCCTTAGACCCAGCTTATGCATTTCGACTAAGTCTAACGGATTACATTAAAAAAATTAAACATTTTCCAAAAACGTTATTCGATAATTTAAAATCATATTACAAATAAAATTTATAAAAGTATAATAAATAGAAATAAAAACCCAACTCATAAGTATAAAACTAAAAGCGACTAAGTAAAATAAAACATGTAATAAATCTGAAGCATAGTAAATTGAATACCAGTAGCAAAAGAAGTAATATTATAAAAAGATAAGTAATTCAAAATAAAGGCACATGTCACCATAATTGAAAGTAGTTCAGAAGATAGAAGCACTACAACAAAATGATCTGTACTAAATATGTCGTTCCTCCAAGTTCTTGGTACGAAATGCCTATCCAAGAGTATCTGAAAGGGGGTAAAACAATTTGAAAAGTGTGCTAAGGGCTTAGAATGTCCCAACAATACAAAAATAAAATATACAGTTAAGTTTTTAAAATTAGTGCAGATCACAGTTATTAAAACATTATAAGAGTTTTTGGTTTAAATTTTCAGAATAGCCTTCCAACCGTACACCCTATGCAGTTCCCCAGAACTGCATAAACTAAGGGAGTACCTTGGGGCCTGAGAGCCTACCCAAGAAAGTTATCGGGTCTACGGAGGTCTACCCAAGAAAATCTCGGGACCGCGGAGCCTACCCAAGGGTCGCCTTAGGTCCATAAGGAATCACCAGTCGGTGTTGAACCTATACAAGGAATTACTAACAGCGACTGAACCTGCAGAGTCTTCATACCAGATCCCAGAGTACCCCGAATAAAAACATTTTTCAGATAGTAACTAGTGGTAATAGTAAATCAGAGTTCAGATAGATAATCAGTTCAGTAAAATAGTAACCATAAATCATAAGTCGGGCAATCATGCTTTACATTTCAGTAAATTAAGAATCAGGTTTCAAATCAGGTA